GTGTGTGTGTGTGTGTGTGTGTGTGTGTGTGTGTGTTTAACATGGAGGAGAGCCGTTTTAACCTGGAATAACAAACTTCCCAGAGCGGCGTTCCCAGCCCTCTGTCTCGAGCTTGGCATTCCCAAGCTGCTGATGTCACTGTGCAGGACGCCAGGACAGTTTGGACATAATCGTGCATAAGTTTGTACTGCTATACTTGCGAGGACCGTCTTTAAAAACTCACTCAGCATCTTCAATAATAACCTTGCTCTCTGCTTTGCAAATTAGGGCGGCAAAAGCTCGTAAGCAGCTTCCAAAACCTTCGCCCAGAAGATGTTGCAACCATTTAATTTTCCTTTTGTTTTCTTTTTTTTGGGAGTGACCAAAATGAGACCCAGTGTGAAAAACAGAAACTACCCTTTCTGCTTATACATGTTTGGTCTCTCTGAGAAGTTGCATTATATTTCATTCTTTCTAATTTGCAAGTGACAAATCTTCTCATTAATGCATCACTAAGGGCCAGCTTCTTGAAACTCTTCAGTATCCATCAAGCTAGATGTAATAGTTCACCCATCTCCTAAACCCCACTAGTACGACCTCTGTAGACGATGCAGGGTCTGGAGATGACTCTGTTTCACTGGGCCTGTGGGTTGGATACAATTCACTGGGACTCCTTTAAGGCTCTGGATGTTGAGGGGCTGCCCTGGTTGACACTCCTCTGCAGCATTGGTGAAGTTCTGGGTAGGCCTGTCTGGATTAGCAGATTATAGTGGTGGTGGTGGTAACTTTTTAAAGGAAAAGGACCTGAGCTTATGTTCCAACTCCAGGAGGATAATACTCCTTATCCTTCCTGTGAAGGTCCACAGTGGGAGGAAATGGCTGGAAGAGGGCGCTATGGGCTTCCCTTCTAAAATGGGTATTCTCTTGGACCCTGATAAGTGGATGGATGGAACTGTCGTGCAAAAAATCCTTTTAATAATCCAGTCTAATACATCAATAACATTATATCTTCCATAGGTAAAGGAAACCCTATAGGTTGAGTAAACAAATATTGAGCCATTAAAAAATAAATGACCTCACTCTGCCAAACGTCCGGACCTCGAGTCATATGTACTCTCACAAAGTTTAAACTAGCGAAAAGAAAGGCTCACAGTGTTTTTCTCTCCCCAGACCCCTACGCGATCGTATCCTTCCTCCACCAATCCCAGAAGACGGTGACGGTGCGAAACACTCTCAATCCCACCTGGGACCAGACTCTCATCTTCTATGAAGTGGAGATTTTTGGCGACTCCGAGGTCACGATGGCCAGCCCCCCCAATATTATAGTGGAACTCTACGATCAGGACACATACGTGAGTGTTTAAATCTCATGAAAGCTATTTAGAGGTCTTTGAACATCTGTTTGTTTTTCTATGTTGCTAAAACATGGATGTAACATGTATGTCTATGTTGTGTTTTCATTCTTCAGGGAGCTGATGAGTTCATGGGTCGCTGCGTGTGCCAGCCCTCACTGACTCGGTCGCCACGCCTGGCCTGGTTCCCAATTCGCAGAGGGGACAAGAATGCTGGCGAGCTGCTGGCTGCCTTTGAGCTTATACGCAGAGAAAAGGTCAGAGGTCAACTTGACACTTTCACCTACTGGTCTTTTTCCTTCTTGTCATATTCAAAGTTTTTAAAAAGGCATGTGGTTCTGATATGGATGCTTTAGTCTTTGAGGATGAGTCTTGATTTCACTGTTATTCCAACAGCCGTCACTTCACCATATTCCAGGTCAAGAGGTACGTTTATCTCCATTTTTTCCCATTCCTTCTTGAATTTTTGTCTTTTCCATTTAACTTTGAAATATAACTCATGTCGTATCACCTACAGGGAGATTTCCTGACTTCCACCCACATCTTAGATGAGGTAAAACCACACCAAGTATTGTACCGTTTTTCTCTAAATTTAAATGTTTGACAGTAAACACGACTGATATGAGACTATCACACAGTCTAGGAGAGTCAAAGAGTAAATATTCATAAAAAAAATTTAAACAACTTGTTTTTTTTCCCCATTTTTGATTTTTGTTAGGAAAAGTCTCAAAGTAAGCAAACTGGCTAAATCATAACAATTTATTATGAAGTCCTTTCTTCAGTTTTTCTTTCTGCTGCTTTCTTCATAAACTGTATGTAAAAGATAGAAGGGGACACAGTGATGTTCTATTTTGAAGCCACAACTTTAACATTTTTTGTAATTCCCTGATCGAGGATCGGATCAAACGTAACTTGTCGGTCACAAAGCTACTACACCATGAACAATACGGTGCTTTATGACCTATTTTACTGTAATTGGGAGCCATAATTGACAAAAGCATCTTGAAACTGGAGATCATAAAATAAGCAAGTGACATCAAAGGCAAATAAAAATTAACGCTAATTTCTGCAGTTCCTCCAGTAGCCAGATTCATAGAACTTCTGCATTTGTCTTCACTTCAGCTTTATGCGTCTTGTATGCAGTATACAGCTTGTCTTCCAGTCGTATCAAAAACACCCCACATGTTGCAGTATATTTGTGCAGTTACAGCTCTTTTCATTTATCTTTTGTGCTGAATTATTTTCTTTTTTCTTCATTCTGGCTTCTTCAGCTGATGTTTCCAGGATTCCTCTCTGAAAACCTGCAGCAATGGGTACAATATAGAAACACAAAGTCAAATCCATCCATGGTCATCCCATTTGATGTCTCTGTCCATTTACTGCATACGCTGATAATTTTATCTCACGTGCATGTTAAAAGCCATCCCCTTTTTCTAAAACTTGAAATGTTTATTTACTCATTTTTGATCAGCAGTAATCTAACACTGTGTGGTTTTTACACGTGGTTTGTTGTATGTTGTATGCAGATGTGTATGGAAGTCCAAAGACAGCATGCATGCAGACTTTAAATCATTTTTACATTTTTTATAGGAGCTCAAGAAAGTTTCACTTTCAGAAGATTCCAGATTAAATTTTATCATTAGTGAGTACAGTTAATTATTTTGTGATCACAGAAAGAAAGAGAACATTATATCATAATCAGATAATGTTTCTGTTTATATAATTACACCTTTTTGGGAAAATGTACTGAAGCTCAGAAGGAGAAATGTTTACCGATGTTGTCTTTGGTCTTCTACAGATTCTTGTAGGTGCAAAAATATTTTGCCTCTTATGCATTTTAATCGCATCTTAATTTTACATATATTTGGATTATGTGGTTTATAAATTTACAATGTAGGAAATTTAATGTGATGCATATTTTTATATTTTTCAGTCAAACTTAAAATTGACAAACACAATGAGTTTCAAATACATTCAATGTGTTTTATATGATTTTAGGATTAACATGCTTGTTGGGTCTTCTACATTACTTTTGTATTCAAAATATTTAATCCAAATAAATGTTAAATTTACATGTTTTAAAATACATAACAGGCTGCTTGTTGTAAAGTACTATTTTGTGCTTTTTAAAGTGTTTTTTTTATGTTAAATGTTATTACATTTGTGTGGTATTAACACTCCAAAACAAAATTGATATACTCATCCTAAACATTGTCATTTAACATTTCTTCATGTTTGTTGCCATAGAACAATTCACCTGGCAGTAAATAGCACGGCAAGCTGTTTAAATCATTGTTGTGCATTCATGTGCTGCTTGGATGGTCCCGACCTGGGAAATTCCTCTTCAGAATTTGATGTGTTCTTAAATTTGAATTTGGAAACAGCAAAAACACTACAGAGATTAAAGACTTGTTATCCAGCTAATAAATGTGTTTTCTGCCTAATCTACATTATTGCTCATGGACTGCTTTAAACAGTGACAATGTCATATGGTAAATAAATAAATGGTAAATGGCCTGTATTTATATAGCGCTTTACTTAGTCCCTAAGGACCCCAAAGCGCTTTACATATCCAGTCATCCACCCATTCACACACACATTCACACACTGGTCATATCACCTTCTTGATTAAACGTTAGCCATATAAGTCAATTGATTCAAAGTTTCTTACCTTAAACCAAACCTTTACCAGATTTTTGTGTAATTTCAAGTCACTAAAGTCACCCCAAAAAAGGGGATTTTCCTAGTCGGGGAGTCATTTCTCAGATGATTCCAATACTCCATGAATGTGCAAATTCTCATTGGTCACTTGTTGATGACCTGCTACTTTCCTGCATCCATATTCACAGCCGGAGGAGTCAGACCTTCCCTACCCACCGCCTCAGAGAGAGCCAAATGTCTTCATGATTCCTCAGGGAATCAAACCTGTTCTGCAGAGAACCGCCATCGAGGTATCACTAATTATCTGCTTTAACTTTTCTTTTTCATTATCACCACCTTCCTGGGTGCTGAGAAACAGTGAAAATGATCATAGTCTTCTGATTCCTGGACCTGATTCTCTATTGTGTTATGTGTGTCTTAATTATAGATGACTTTAGCTTTATTAGTTCCCTTTAGCCTTCCCTTGCTGTTCCCTCAGGCTTGTCTTTGTGTTGGTCTTGTCTGTCATGGTCCTTAGTTTAGTTGTGTTACGTTGATCTAATATTGCTGTTCTGCTGTGTCTCTCTTCCTGTTTTATTTTGGTACATGTTGAACTCTGTGTCCTGTGTTGGGTTTGACATCCTGTGTCTTGTTATCCATGATTTGTTTCCACTGTGTCTCCCACCTGTTTACCCCTCGCCTCATTACCATGTGTATAAATTGCCTTGCCTTATCCTTTGTTGTATCATCCTGTTTCCTATTTCTTGCCATCCCTGTTTGTAGCGTCACAAGTTCCTGCTTTTCCTGCTGGATTTTTGGTTTGCCTTAAAGAAAGCTTGGTTTCATTTAATGCTTCTCTATGAGTCTGGATCTGGCGTCCTCTTCAGTCATTATATATGATAAAAATCTGTTCAACTGAGAGTTTCTGTTGTTTTTCAGTATTAATATCTTTATAATTTAAACTCAAAGAAACTTAAAGGATCTTCATTTTGTTTGTTTTTTTTAAATTTTGAATATCTATAAGCAGTTTGATAGATTTAATTATTACAAGTCTAAAAATGACAACACCAACACCACTCTTTCTGTGTCATCCTGACAGATTTTAGCATGGGGCGTCCGGAACCTGAAGAGCTTCCAGCTGGCCAGCGTTACCTCCCCCAGCCTGCAGGTGGAGTGTGGAGGCAGCATGGTCCAGAGCTGCGTCATCCGCAGTGTGAAGAAGAAGCCTAACTTTGACATTAATACGCTTCTCCTTGATGTGGTGAGCTATGCTGTACTAGACTTAAACACACAGAGTAATCAGTGCCCACAGCTTCCATGTTAAGGACAGCTCTGCTGTGGTTTGTGTTACTCATTTATCTTCATCAGTCAAACCACAATAATGGCAGAATAGAGAAATTCCTTCTCTTTTTCCAAGAAAATTATAGGTTTCCTTGTGTGCTGCAGCAGATTTTTAAAAATTTATTTTTAGAAAAGTGAATGTTTCTTCAGATAAGAGTTAATTATCTTCCATGGCTATTAGCATAGGCATTAATGTACCATAAATGCAGGGTGGATATGCTTGCCATGGGTATGGTGGAGGGTACAGATGCTTACTGGATGTTCTTAAAGTGGATGTCACTGTAGTACAAGGTCAATAGTAAGCTGAGTTTGATGTTTAGTAAATCAGGGATAATACCTTTAACATCGATGTAGTTTTCTTTGGATAAACCAATTCATCATATTTTCCACCACTGAAGAGGCAGACATTTCCACCTTGTTCAGGGATCCTAGGAATAAATAAAATATGTAGAAGTTTTATATTTGTTAAGACTTTGTGATTGTGTAATGAAGTTATGGTCACATTTGCACATGAATCTGCAAGTAAGTACATAAAAGGGCACAAATTGCTAACCAGCTGACACTGGTAATATCAGGGGTGTCTCACACATAATGCATTATCTGACATGTAGTTCAGTTATGGGTTATCAGGTTTTACTAATAGGGTCATCCCATCTCAAGTGTTAGCTAGTGGTTATTTGGGTGGTGTTAATTAGCCTCTGCACGGCCTTCTTGTTCTCAGTCTTGGTCCCTGTGTACCAAACGGCCAGCACGCTCTCCACTGAGGAGCAGTAGAAAGCCGGCAGGGAGAAAGTGCAGCCGCTGCTGCTCTTTCTTTACCAGGGCGTTGGTGTTGTGGGTCCAAGTGAGATCAGCGAAGATGTCGGTGCCCAGATACCTGAAGGTGGAGACAGATTCCACCCGTTCTCCATTTATAATGAGAGGGGAGTGGACCTGTCTGTGCCTCCCAAGTCCATTATGAGTTATTTTGTTTTAAGGAGGTTCAACATCCGGTTATTTTCTGAGCACCCGCAGGGCAAGTTCTCTACCTCTACCCTATATGCTGTCTATCTATATGCATTTTTTTTAAAATAAAACTTTATTTGGGCAGTTGTTGTAGCTTGAGAGTTATGTTTGGGGTCTTGTATCAGGCTACCAATGTGAAGACTACAAGACTACTCACATGAAATTGGCTTCTGACATCTTTTCATCTCTCTTGTTTCACTAAATTTATTTCCATGTATAAGTGGGAGCCAAAAGTGAGCTAAAATGCCTTGTAAGGCTGAGAGGAATTGCAGAGTTGAATATAGTGGGCTATTATGAAAGAACACAAGTTATAGCAGGTTAAAAAAAGGTTGTATGGTCGCTAAAAACCCAACTGCATGCACGTCGACGCCTGCGTTCCCCTCGCTGTCACTCTGCAAAGAGCGTTTTTTAATTCACTCATTTATTTTAATCAGAGCAGCCGCAATCTTCAGAGCAGGGAATCGTACCAGTCGTTACTTATCCTTCGAATGTAACACTGTCCTCTGAGAATATGTTTCCACTGAGTTTACATTGGTGCCATTGAATTCCACCTAAGTGTTTTCTTATGAAAACCTAAACTGAAATATGGAAATATTAAACACATTTTCCTAACAGCGGCTCCAAACAGGCTAGAGAGTTTAACAATATTAAGGTCTGAAGTTGATCACCTCCGTGTTTTATTATGACAGCTATAACTGGCGTATGGAAATATTCACTTTTTTCCCCTTAAATGCAGATCCTTGCTTTGACTCCTGCAGTTTAATGTTAACAAGATTAAGGTCCTGTTTTGACCACCGCACGAGTGTGACAGCCTCAATCGGACTGTGGAAATGTGCACATTTCTTTTCCCCTTAAATTTAGCCCCTGAACCAATTCCAAGCATTTAATGTTAACAATATTAAGGCCTTAAGATGAATGCGTAAGTGTTTTCTTATGCCACGGGAGCAAAAGAAAATGTCATGGGCATAGTTTTCTTAAATATTTCTCTTTGAAGTGTCTAACCACCTAATGTTAGCTCTCTCAGTTTATTGTGTGAGTTTAGCATCATCAGCCTCACTTAAGCCTTTCTTAAAGCCAGAGAGGTCAAACAGATTACAGTTGCCAGCCCATTGTTTATTTACCTTTGAGTGAGTTTGGATAAATGAGGTTGTGTTGCCATATTGTCTTCAGATGTAGCTGCTGTAAATGTTTTGAGGGTTTCATTATGCAGCTGGTTCTTTGAGATTCTTCTTCTGCAGCTCTCTGTAAAAGTCAGAGGGATTGAGGGAACTCGAGCCAGTTGAATTTTATTTAAGTATATAGCTGTTGCAGAAGCTCTGCCAGCTGCAGCACCTACAGTATCAGCATCAAGAGGGAGAACATGCCTGGCAGGTCAAGTGATGGTCTGCTTGTCTTCTAAAGCCTGCAGACGTACAACCCAATGAAGGTTGCAAACTTAAAGGGGGCAGACGTTCTGGACCAAAAGTCAGATCTTATACAGGAAATCGCAAGAGAGGATTGTATAGATTTCACTAAATATGTTGCTACATGTCATTTAAATCTAAATTGAATCCTCTTTAATAGAAGATCATGATGACTGTATGAAAACAGGAAGATAAAATGCTCAGTGTTGATCAGATTTGTGGTTGTTTAGTAACTTTCTAATTGTTTTATTGGGCTGTGGCAGATATAAGTTGTTCCTTCTGCTCTAGTTAAGTCAGCTGTGAGTAATTCTGGAAAGGTTTGATTAGATTTTTTCCATAAACTCACATGAATAAGGTCCATTCTTGGTTTTTGTTTTTTCTTTGCGGTTATTTGTTTGTTTGTTTAAAGAGAATGGGCTTCATACGCTGATATGTGCATAGAACAAAATAAAAGCACATGGAATGTGATGTTCCTACCACTGTGCAGCCATAAAAGCCGACAACAGTAAAATAACAGGAGAAACACTATTGAGGAGGAAGCCTGAAAAAAAGCACAGCTTCCCAAAGTGTTTGCACAGGAGTACCTTTAGTTTAAAATAAATACATAATTATAATAATAAATAAGAAAGGCTTAGGATGAAATATCATTTCATTGTTTTATTTTACAGAGCAAACTGTAGTCCTACAACGCAGTAACAGCCTTCATTTTGGACCTTCAGGGTCATCATTCCCAGAAGTTCACAACAGTCTGTTTTTGCAAAACACTGGTGTGAAAATCTCTAGTGTGCGATTAAGATTAATGGAGCCATATATAATGCAAGGAAGTGACACTTACATGACAGAACAAAATGGCATATACTGAAAAGGACAGAGTTTACCGCAACTTGTGTGTGTGTTTTTTTTAATCTTTTTTTTTTGTGTCACTTTACTTGCAAACCTTATATTAAAATCCTCAACTTATATGTTAACTCAAAGTCCCAAAAAGTTGATTCTTTTCATCTGGATGTCATATTTTTAGTGGGAGAAATGTTTCATTACTTTCAGTGACAACTGATCAATGGCCATCAGTACCATTCACAGAGTTGGGGAGTGGCTGCAATCACAGAATTGTAAGATTGTCAATGATCAGTGGTCATGACAATTTGCATATTAATCCAATGATCAAGAAACTGACCTCCCATCCTACTGTTCAATCAGTGGGCTAATTTCAGCGTTGTGCAAAGGTATTGTTGAAAGGTTTTGGGGGAACCTGCAGTCAGCTGAGACTAAAGAAGTCACTTGATTATGAGTGACGAAATGTTTCTCCAACTGAAAACCCCACGTCCAGATGAACAGAATCAACTTTTGGGGGATTTCCTTACCTGGATGATTGAGCATGCATCAAGACACTTTAACTCAAAGTGTTGTATGTACCCTGATTTCCATCACAAAGATGGTATCTGCACCTCTGCAGATTCAGCTATTTTTTTATCCTTTACATCTAAAAAGGTCCATTTAAGCCTTGATTGGTCATGCTTTGGTGACCAATCAGTTTTAGGCAATCAGCAGCCACAGCCAGTCAACATCATGCAGGCAGGTGGCATAACCAATTAGAAATAGACGTTAAGCAGCCAGACGCTTAAGTCCCTGTGTTTTCATCTTCCTCCATCTCACCACAGAGACTTCCCCAAGAGGAGCTCTACATGCCGCCAATTGTCATCAAAGTCATTGACAATCGTCAGTTTGGGAGGAAGCCGGTGGTTGGGCAGTGCACCATCCGCTCGCTGGAGGAGTACCGCTACAACCAAGAAGATGAGCAAGCTGTGGAGTTGGAGGGAGAGGAGGAAGGATGGAGATGTAAGGCACACAGCAGTGGAAAAAAATAGAGCAAAAATGATTAACACTGATGATAAATGTTAAGTGTCTTCTTTTCCTGTGTGTGTTGGCACGTGTAGGTGAGACGCCCCATTTAATTTCTGGGGAGGTTTTTATTGACATCGATGATGAGCAGCCGCTTGTGTCTGACCAGGTAAAAGAGCTTTTTGTATCAGCCAGTTGCCTAAACCTGCTCTGTGTACACAACACTGTACATTTATTGGCTAATTACTCTGTAGGTAATTACTGGTAATTAGTACTTTAAATAATTGCCACAAAACTGCCTTTAAAGCATCAAAAACACTTTTCTGTTCATCTCTAAATTTCCTCTCACTAACATAAGGATTCTCTGGCTGGGCTGTGACTTTCACCTTCCTGTTGAAATCCAAAATCTTTGACAAAAGAAAAGGAAAAAAAGAGCCTATCCAACAATATCACTCGAATGCAGATAAAATTGTTTATTTAGTAAAGGCTATTTTTCACATTGAGTTAAAACTGCCAAGGATAGTGGTGAGGAGGGAACCTATATACAGGACACAGCCCTATTAGGCTCATAGCAACAGGTCCCACTGTCTTACCCTTTCATTTTTTTTCTCTTTCTTCTTTCACCAGATAACTGGTCAAAGATTTTTGACATCCCAGTTTGAAGAACACACAAAGTCAATTACTAACAAAATGTAGTCTTTTTAAAGCATTTTTTTTAATATCCCCTCTTACCCCCCTCCTGGTCCACAGTCGTAAGTGGTTTCATTGTGTGTATTAGTGAATAGAAGATTGTATAGAATTAGACCGTGACATAATTTGGCTTTATTGGTTTGGCAGACCGCACGAGGTTCCGTTGAAGGGAGCAAACATAAATAATGCAGCGCTATAAATGCTAAACACACACTCGCAGACCGCAGCTATCGTTGTGTAATCATGTTTGAGGACTGAAGGGAGCTGGAAAGTTTCAGGAGGAATGCATTGTCATCAAACTGTGGTCCCCCCAAAAACTGCAAAAACGCAAAGTCATTATTATGTTTAAGATGTTTTTGTTGTTGTTGTTGTTGTTGTTGTTGTTGTTACATTTTCTAAAAATAGTGTTAGGAGGAGAAGAGTTACCAGTAGGCCCAACAATAAGTAAATACATGTAAAAGTGCTTTGCTGGGCTATTGATTATTAAGGTTATTATTATTATTATTATTATTATTATTATTATTATTATTAACTACTAATGGTACAAGAACATGTCTGGAACTGCTTCTGAACCAAACTGTAGTTTGTCAAAGGTGTTTTTTATATTTGCAGCATGCATAACCACACACAGCCAATATAAACTTTCCATTTTCAAGGTTCACCAGTAGAGTTTTGGTCTCTGATGTGATGGGTTTTTTATTCAGAGTCAGAACCAATTTGATTTGAATGACAAAATCAAAATCTAACCTGGGAGTTACTCAGATCCCAAGTTACTCGGAGAGGAACTTTGTATTAGTATCTTGCCCAATGTTATTTGGCATGACGGGGACAGAACCACCAACCTTCCAGTTAGTAGATGACCTGCTCTACCACCAGAGCTACAGCTACCCCACATGTAAACAAAAAATGAATTCAGTTGAATTTAATGACTTGAAGCAATGGATGAGGTCTAGCAGACACTGATTGGCTCCAGCTGCCTGCATTGGCACATTTGTCACTCACACAGGGAGCGATTCACTTGTCATGTATCTCTTCGAAGTTGACCATTGATCGCCAGTGGACATTTCGGACTCCAGTTTCCTAGGTAATCCGCTAATGTATTCACTACCAGGTCATAGGTTTATCTGTGGTATCTGGCACTCTTATTGACAATCACTTCAGTTGGTTGCCTCCAAGTTGAGGAAAGTGTATTTCAGGACCCGCTTACTTTGTGTCACCTGTAGCTTGAAGTCAACAAGTGTCATTTCTGTGTCTGGTCACCATGGCACTGTACTGGTTTCTGTGAAGACATAGCTTTATAGTCTATTGAAGCAAACACTATTTTGTTGCCTCTCAAATATGTTTTTTATTTTAACAGTTTAACATAAGACCCTGTTGGGGACTGACAAACTTGTGAAGTCAGCCCTATGTGTCCATTAGAAGAACTGCACTTTTTGGCACTCGTGTTTTGGCTTCATTTTAAAGCCCTGGGTTGTTGTCACTTGGACCACCACACTGGTTGAGCATGTTTGTGGGCACTTTTTAGTGGCATTAAAGGAGTTCTAAAAAGTCTCAACATTTAACTCTGTTTAAACTTAACCATACTTTTACGATAGCATTGTGTCATCAAAAATGGCCAGTGTATCTATTTTTCAGCACTTTTAACAGTTTATGGCATATTTCTGCCTCTATGATGATTGTATGTTAGGTCAGAGGGTAGGGACAAACAGCCTACATGATCATTAAGGTTAGAAGTCTTGCTCTTACCTTTGGAGATGGTAAAGGTACTGGCACCCTTGTCTACAATCTTTATGCTAAAATACCCATCTGGCAGCCATGATAAGAAAGTAAACACTCATCAAAATATGAAAATATTCCTTTAACATAACTAAAAGAATAGACGAGTTGTCTCTGCTGGTTGGTATTTGCTCTGAACTGTAATTATGCAAAACCAATGGTTGCCTGTTTAGAAATCACTAAAGACAGTGTGGCAGGCCTTGGAAAATGTTCTGCAGTAATGTTTAAGTGTGCAGGATTTGAAGTTAATGGGCTACAACATGGAAAACCACTGGATTGGCCCCTTTGAGAATACTGAAGTAACTTTTGAAGACAGTGAATCTGCAGAGGACTTGTGAGTTTTCTGGAAAGAATTCCAAGCTCGTGATTTCTGTCAGCCTCCTCTGTGAGAGTAAAACAATTCAAGACTTCTGTTTTGGAGCCCTGCACCTTCTTGCTGATGTCTATTACTTCTTCTTTTCTTCTCCTCAGTTTCCCCTCTCTGCTGTCATCAGCTGTCAGTCATTTTATTTGAAGACCCTTGGTCTTCCTCCTTTGCTTCTGTCTATTGTTCTCCCTCTTCTCTCTCCTCTGCACAATAAAACGATTATTTGGTTTTCATTCTTTACATTCAGCTTTTCCCCACACTACTTTTATATCACTTCCTGCCACTTTCCTTCTTTGCAAAAATATCCAGTGCTGAAAAATGGATGCTTAATTGCCAAAAACTGCAGTTCCTCAAGTAGCCACTTTGGACTTCCTCGAGAAGTGAACTACCCTTCATGGACTCCCAGGGTAAAATGACCAACTTAATAGGAGAAATGCCCAGTCATATGAAAAAGAATGATTTTATAGGACTCTATGAAGTCCATAAAGTCTGTACTACCTACACCCTTACTGCTTCCATAGGATTTAAAAGGACAAATTACAGACAGATGCTGCTTCTCAAATGCAATTGGTTGATTTGCAAGGGTTGCCAAGACAAAGCCTCTTCCCTCTAAAAAACAAACAAACAAAAAACAACTATTGGCATATGGCCTTGCTTTGCCAATTTGCTTCTTGGAACATTGTGTAAAGACATGGCAAAAGTGGTGTCCATAATCCACGGCACCACATTTCAAGAAAACTAAATTTCAGGCACAGCAGTGGAGGCCTGAGCATTGTGGCTTGTTTTCTAGGCACAGGACCTGGGCACCATGTATTGACTGTGTCGACCACGAACTTCTCTATATACCAAAGTATTCTAGACTCGAATGTGGGGCCATCTGTCCGACAGATAAAACTTGTGCCAAACTGGGGCTTAAAGTTAGGAACACCGCCAGTTTGATTGGTAGATGTGCCAACACAGCTGACTAATAACACTCACTGAACTTGATAACTTAATTGCGTTTGTGCTGCTGCTGCCTTTTAGCATAATGACCATTGGCCCACAAGGTAGTAGCTGATGTCTCAGTGGCCTTTTACCTTGTTTTAGATGCACTCTCTAAATCTGTTTTTTGTTGCCGTCTAACTAACTTCTTCCTTTTATTTATCAGTTGTTGTTCCTTCTTTTCTGCTCAGTTTCCTGGCTCTTTTTAGCTTTTACCAAATTATGTTTTTCTTCTGCCTTCCTTCCTTGCTTCTTTTCCTTGTTACATAAAATTTACTTAACTCTATTCCCTTTTCTGTCACCCTTTTCCCAGTAAAACCTCCTTTGCTCCATCTCTTCTTCTGTCCTTATTTTCACTCATTATGTATCCTTCCATTCCTTACATCCCTCTGCCCTTTCCCTTCTAATTTCCTTCCTACTTTACTATCTCTATTTATCGCCATTCTTGTTATCTTCACTTTAGCCATACTTTCTTTTGCGCAGTTTTCATCTATTCAGTAATCCTTTCATCTCTCCATTTTATTGTTCTCCATCTTTCTGTTTTTCAAGCTTGCTTCACCTCTGTTTTTTATTTTCCCTCTCCAGTCAACCCAGTTTTTCTCACACTCTCTCTCTCCATCCGTCTTTTGCCTTCCCCTCTTTACCCTTTTAATTCATTTTCTCATTCCTTCTTCCCTTCTCTATCGATCAAGCTGGCAGCTGTTTTAATGTGGCAGCTCATTAGGGGGAATCCTCATGTTATCCTCCTCCGTTTCCTCTCTCTCGCTCCATTGTTGTGGTTCATCAGCCAATCATCCCCTCACTGATCCTTTCATCATCTTGAAATGCCTGCTGGAATTTTTCCCTTTTTTAATTTCTCTGTGCGGCCCTCCTTGGTATCCCTTAACCCACAGGCGCCACAAAAGCTGCGCGCACACACACACACACACACACACACACACACACACACACACACACACACACACACACACACACACACATTTGTGTTTCTGTCACTTAGAGGACATTACATTGACTTTAATTTATCTAAATGATAATTAAACCCTTGACTAAACCTACCAAAACTTCATGTTAAAACTGAATGATCAACATTACGGAGACGTGCTTTATGCATTTACATCATAAGGAAAACACATACACACAAATACGTGCACTATTTAACATAAGGAGACATCATGGGACTGTCTCTAATATATTGCTGTTACCTCATTCTTACGACACTGACCATTTTTCCATTCTCTCGCACTGATGCAAAACCTCAATTGCCTTGTTGTGTTTGAGGGGGGAGGGCAGCGGTAAATGTTTAGTGACATGGGAGTTCAAAAAAATATGTACAACATGAGCTAAATAAGCGA